ATACACTGCTGAGGGGAGCAGCGGGGGGTGTGGGGGTGGCACAGAGGTCTGCTGTGCCATGTGGGTCAGCTCCCTGGCTGGGGATCGAACTCATATCCTGTAGTGGCTGCAGGTAGCTTCATAGTGCCGTACTTTAACACGCTCTAAAGCTTAATTTTAAAAGATAGCTAGCTATCGCTCATTTGCACTGATGATGCTTTTTAATGCAAATCAAAGGGCGTTATTTAGGATATTTGCCATTCACACTCACCACAGTTGGGAGGGACACAGAAAGATGAGGAGCCAGGGTCTGGGTTCATGCTGTTATTGCCCAGGCAAGTCGAGCAATCCGTCATCTCAGGGGCGTTTGCCAAACCAGATTCTTGAGGCAGAAGTGCTAGAGAAGCCTGTGCAGATGCAATATTGCTGGTTATTTCAGCAACTTTTTTGAAAAAGTAAGGCAGGGAACCAAACCAGGACACGCGTGACCTGACGGAAGACGCAGCTGCAGTGAGTACGTGGAGGCACCCCTGGCAAGTGGTGGACTCTCCCTGAGCACTGGCTGGTGCAGCTCAGGGAGCACCATGAGCTAGATGCTCCTATAGGGTGGATCCAGCCTTTCCACTGGGAAAAGTGGGCTATAATTTCCCTGTCCAGGGGAAGAGAACAGAATGGGTTAAGGCCTTTTCTTGGGATCCTGATTTTTAATTTCTCCAGGAGGTGTACAGTCATAATGTTTTCTGTAAATCCAGGTGATTTGTGAAATGTCACAAATCCAGAATAAAGCAACTGTGTTAGAATAAGAATCACAAAGTCGGTAGACATGTTGATAGCTATCTTCACAGTGTCATTTTCTGCATTTAAGGGTGAAATGAATTATTATATGGCTCTGCTCTTCAACCCAGACTGTGATCGCACCTCAGATATTATGCTCATAAACGTTTATATATATATATATTCAGTATCTTAATTTTTAAAAGCTAAACTTTATAGCACTCATCCAGTGGTTTTTAGACAGCCTTGCTAATCTCACAAATTATTAGTTTTCTCTCACTTGTAATTGAATGGTATCTTTAAGAACAGGAGGGTTATCAAAGCAATAAAAATGTTTTACTAACACTTACATGGCTTAGTGACAATGTTCTCTCATTCCAGGCACGTTGCATATTTGAAATAATTCCACAGAGGTGGTTAATCTGGCCACTCATGGTTTCAATAAGTTCTTGCAAACTCTATTATAATAAATATTTAAATATTTAATAATAATAATAAATACATAAAGCAGTTTCTATTTCAAAAGAAAATGAACAATTAAGAAAATATGATTAAGCCAAATGATAACTGCTAGGAACAAAGGAAGTTCCAGAGTGATCAGACATTGCTTGTTCACGATGCCTGGTTCTTGATGACAGTAGAGCGAATGAGATGAAGAGCCTCAAGCTCCTGTTCCATGTCCCACAGCAGCTGAGGAGCCCTCATCCTGGGAGCAGACACGCCCGTTTCATGAGCCCCCACACTTATGCAGTCACTTTACATCAAGGAAGGTGCTATTTTAGCAAAGAAATTTTCAAATCTGCTAAAAGGTCAGAGTCTGTTTCCACAAAATGGCAGTGTGAACTAACAGACAGTGAGCATTTAAAGATATTTAGTGAGGTAAAGAAAATTTTAACTCAATACTTTGGAACACTGCATTTAAGAGACAGAACACTGATGGAGTGGTGTTCCATAAGTTGGTTTTAATGATTTTATAATAGAAAATTTCTGATACATTACTCTCCTATTAATATTATAAAATATATGTAATATACTTAATATCACTAAAAGTCAAATGAAGCACTAGAAAAAATAAGTCCATATACTTCTTTCTTTTTCACCTATGTTCCAAAAGAATAATAGTCTTCTAATATAAGGCAGAGTTAAAGTAAAACCAGAATATGCATCCATATGAGACTGAGAAAGAGCTGATTTTAAAAGGGAATAAGGAAAGAAGTTACAAGAACCCAAACTTAAGCTAGTGAGTATCAGAATGAGTACAATGTCTATAATAGATAGGTATATATACAGACAGATGTGGAAACAGCTACGTCTATGTACACACACACTAAATACCTACATTTATTTCCTAGTCCTGTCAATTGGAAGGTCCTAAGATATGCCCCAAGAGCAGCAATGAATACACCATCTACAATACAAATAGCCATGGTTCCTTGGAGAGAGGAGAATCTCAGAGCTGGGGTAGGGAAAGTACAAATAAGCCTTGAACATCATGTGACGTCACACACTCATACACGTGAGGGTATGTAAAAAGGCCACAGGCACCAATTGAAAGGAGCTACTAAGATGGAGTACAAAATAGCTGTGGATTTTCTATTAGACAAGGAAAAGAGGAAAACAAAATAATGACAAATCCATGAGAAATATTTCCTTGAGCATGAGCTAAGGAGGAACTTCACAGTATATGAAGGCTGAAAAGAGAATTTGCATCGTTTCCTTTATGAGAACGTGAATATATCTGGTAACTAGCAATTAATACTAGATAAATATTCAATCAGATACACATTCATTAATGACACATCTACCTTCTTCATAATCAAGTATTCATGCTCTTGGTTAAGTAGATTTATTATTAAACCAAAATGAAATAGAAAAAAAAAACTGCAGGAAAAATTCAGCACTTCCATTCTGCTTTCAAGGAGTGCCAAAGGCCTAAAGGATTCTTCTGCCCGCTGCCCGGGCTACAATAACACGAAAAGATGGGCTCGCAGATCTGCTTTCTTACTAACCCTGATACATTTAAGACACTCTTCTCCATTAGGCTTAAATCATCACACTTCAGGGTAGAAAGACTAATCTTCTGGTAATGGAGCGGGAACTGCTTTAAAGGCAAATGTTTCTAACCACAAACAAAGAACCATGGGCTAGGGGGCTTCTGATTTTCAAATAATTCAACAGTGACACTCTGTGGACAAAAAAGGAAACACTTAAGCACCTGTTTTTCCTTAATAAATGAACTTCTAAGTTACCTCTGGGTGTCAAATATGGTATAAATAAGCAATTAGAAAATACTAAGCATTACATTTAGTTATAAAAACTATTCTAATGATGAACTATGGACTACAAAGTAATTCTAATGAAAGCATAACAAGTAGTTACCCATTTTAAGTTAACTGAATTAGCCCTGCATTACAAATTTATTGGACAGCAAAAATTATATGGAATTATAATACAAATTAGTGACTACCTGAACAATATATTGTCAACTTACATCTGTATAGTGCTTGATGCTTTTCAAAGTACTTCACATAGTTATATTAGAAATCATGATTCTTGGGAGGCAATTAATACCCCCAGAGATAAAAATATTGAGGCTAACAGAAATGAAGAGAATGACTTATACTAATTAGGAGGTATGACTATCCACATTCTTATGCAAGTTTAAAAATAATTTTGTTAAACTAAATCATATATAATTTAATAATCTATTTTACTCAGCTTCAGAAAGCAAGAAGCTTAGCTAAATATGACAGAAATGTAAAACAGTGCAACAACTTCAGAAAACTGGTAGTTTCTTATAAACTTTTATCTACTCTGTGACCCAGCATTTCTACCCAAATATTATCAATTAAACATAAACATATGTTCACAAAGAGATCCGTAACAATGTTCATAGCCACTTTACTCATAATTACCAAAAACTGGAAACTATCCAAAATGTTCATCAAAAGGAGAACAAATTTTAAAATTGTACAGTCATAGAAGAAAATATTTCTCAATAATAAACATGAATTAAATCTTGCTGCAACCTGATGAGTCTCCAAAACATTATTCTAAGAAAAGAATGCTTAAGGAATGATTCCATTTACATGAAGTGTTAGAATAGGCAAAATTAATGTAAGATGGAAAAAGCATCAGCATGGTATTTCCCCAAGGTTGGGGACTTACTGGGAAGAGACACAGGGTAACTTTCTGGGACAATGGATATGTTCTTTATCTTGATGGGTATACATTATTTGTCAAAATTCATCAAACTGCACATTTAAGAACTGTGCATTTCTTAAATTGTAAGATGAACTAGTGGTTACCAAAATGGAAGGGGAAGGGGAGATATTGTATAGGGGAAAATTGTATAGTGAAGGATAGAATTGGGTTTTCAGTAGTGAACTTGATGTAGTATATACACATGTTGATTTTTAACAACACACAAATGAAACTGATAGCGTTAGAATGCAATGTTATTTCAATAAAAAGAAGAAAAAGAATTACACATCACTATATGAAATAAAACTCAATTTGGGGGGAAAAAAGAATGAGAAGAACAAAGAAAAATTTTCACTATAATATACAAACCATATTATTCTCCGTTGGACTAGATGATCGTCCTCTTTTATAAGATGGGATAAAATCCACTTCTTCAGAGGAGGGGCTGAATCTTTTTAAATTTTCTGGATGGTTCATCTGAGAAACTATTTGATCATCCAGCAATGGTAAACCTGTAGCTCCTGAAAGACACAAAGAGAGTTATTGACCCACTCACTACTTCATAAAGTTAACTCAGATATGTTCTCAGAACGCCAACTCAAGTAGAATCAGAGCCCTGGTACAAGGTTAGGGAATGACAAAAGGAGAAAATTTCTGCCAGTAATTTAGAATAGACCCTTAAAAATCAAAGTGCTCACGGCCCTCCCTGGTGGCGCAGCGGGTTAAAGCACAGCACTGAGAATCTAAAGCCGCTTCCACATGAGTTCGATTCCCGCCTGCCCGGGAGGTGACCACATGGCGTGGCAGACCTCTCCTGACCCGCCCGCTGCTCCCCTCAGCAGTGTACTTCATCCATCTGCCTGTTCTGCTCCCCACTCTGTCTCTGGTGAAGCCTCTCACCGCCCCTGAGCCTCTGGCCTGTACCTCAGTTCTGTATGCACGAATAAATAAATCTTAAAAAAAAAAGCGTAAAAAATCAAAGTGCTCAAATGAGATGGGAAAGGCACAAAATGATGTAAAAATAAACTTATTATATTATCTAAAAAAATAAAGAAACATCAACTAAAAAAAAAATCAAAGGTCTATATCGCCCATGCCCAGGAACAAGAATTAAGATCAAACTCAACTCCAACTTGTCAAGTGAATGCTTCACAACTGAGAGGCTGCAGAGGAAGTGCTGGAGACAAGGAACAAGAGAGCGTTCCCAGCTGCTTTTGTTAAGGAGCTTCCCCAAAGGGCTTTTTACTTAGGGAGCAGCAGGTCTCCAAACATGAGGTGAGGTCCACAGTAGTTTGCCCCCAACCCCACAACGTGCGCACTAGACAGACCACTAAAGACACAGTCTCCTTACCTGCTAGATAAGACTGGTTTGAATGATCAGACAGTCATTTCAGCTCTAAGATCATGACTGCCCTCCCTGAATTAATATTAAACCCAAACAAATGTATATGACATATAAGGCAAAGCATCCAGAATTATGTAAGCTCAGTTATGCTCCTAAGTCACTTAACTCTGTCCCAAGCGGTTTTTCCTTTAAGTTTTTGCTTTGTTATCAAGTAGTTATAATTACAGTCACCAGGTTTAATTTTTCAGACGGAAAATATATTCTCTGCAGTAAACATTCGCCTCAATTATTTCTGACACTACCTTCCTCATTCCCCAGAGAATGAAAAGGGGAAAGAAGACATTACAAAGCTTAAAGGAAGGGAAAATGCAAGCACAGATAAACTGTGTAATATTACCATGAAGTTTGGCCTTCTGATAGTAACTAATTAATATAAAAGTTTTAGGAATATTTAAGCAATTTGCTGGAAATGAGAATAAGGAAGGAAGCAAAATATCACACCAAGACATTTAACAAAATTACCATATATTTGTGTTGGTTGAGGAGAGTTATCATGTTCATCTTGAAAATCTGATTCTATGGCCAGCATGTCATCATTGGAAATGCTATTGTCAGTATTCTCTGCTTCAGAATCTTCTATTAACACAACGTCATCATCATCATCATCATCATCATCAGTGTCACTGTCTTCAATAGTAATAATAATATAATCTAAGAATGAGCAAAGAAAAAGGTTAGATTGAACACCATATTAAATAGTATCTAGAAAAACCCACCTTATAAATTGTGGAATATTTAAAAAACATACTATAGCTGGAAAAATTAAATAATTCCCTATCTCTAAACACTGTAAGTTTGGTATGAAATCACTTGTATGAAGTTCTGAGGCATAATTATATTTGTATGTATGTATATATGCACAAATAATATTAGTTCTAGTACAGCCAACTTTATAGAACAATAAATTTTTTCTCACCTAAGAAAGGTGACCACCCAGCCCATGCTACCATGTAATGTATTCACTGATATGTTTTTAACATTTAAAATGATGCAGTTGATAATGGATAGCCACACTTTGTGGCGAACATGAATTCCCAAACTTGTCTTCTAAAGATTAATATTAATCCTTATAACAATAAATACAGACATAAAAAACAAAAGTAAATATTGTTATTAAAAAAATTAAATTCAAATTGAATATCACAAAATGTGTAATAGATGTTCACGTAGAATCTAGATGTGAAGTATTAACTCAGTAAACCATCTTAATGAATATGTAAGAGTACCTCACACAAAATGTGTGCTCTATAAATGGGCTTTCTTATTTTTTAAAGTTGACCTGAAAAATAAGAACATACTAATTCACAGATCATACTTGCATGGCATCAGAAACTCAAATTGCATACATTATTTGAAATAGCATTAAAATAAAATTAGCTATCACAAGTGGGTAGGGTGGTGTGAAAATGGTGCTTAGTTAGGAATCATGTAATTTAGGCTGCCACTCAAGCTCTGTAGTTATCCAGAGGTATGATCTCTGGGCCAGATACATCTGCTCTATTACCTCTGTATTCTCATCCATAAAACATAGAACTGGGTTTGGAAAGTCCATCTGAATTCTAATTAATAGATGGCATGGGGAAAAGTAACAGAAAATTAGAAACTACCTAGTTATCCAAAGAAAAGGGAATTAAGTAAATTATGGCATTTCCACATGACAGAATGGTACATAGTTAATGAGATGGAAATCCTTAAAAATTTTCCAAACTTACTGATAGCAATCAAGAAGTTGATAGTAGAAAGACTTATGAAAAAAAGATAGAAAAGGATTAAAAGAAAAATAATATTTAATTCGAACTTTGACAGCAGAAGCAAACTGCAATCGTTATAGCTAAGTCACTGCCTCTGAGTCACAAGTATATCTTCATTAGGCTTCACTTAAAATTATCTTCATTAAGCTTAGACTTCATAATCAGACAGAAATAACAAAAGTAACTGAAATTTCACTTCACACATCAACAGATTTTTCAAACTAGAACTGGTAGAACTAATGACAACTCCATTAAAATCATTCAGTGATTTTGTAAAATTCCAATGAATTATTTTAGGAGTATGCAGAACTTTCATAAGCAATTTTTAAAACACAACATTTAGAAGTGTCTTGTTTTTTGAAGGTCACGCTTTCAAAGTGCTAGGAACTCAGTTGCCATGACTTATCCGGTAAGATACAGTTCACAGTGGTGAGGCCTGCAAACTGCCTTTTCACGTGATGATTTGTGCAGGAAATATATAGCCAAATAGAGCAGATTTACAATGGCCACATGGCTCTGACTCTGAAGGCAAAACATCAAACTTTCCCTAAAAAACACAAAACTGTGTCAGTACATTTAACAACCATTTTCTAAATCCGTAAGGGATCTCAAAAGCGGTCCTCCCACCCTCCCTAGCAAACTTTAGAGGCTACTAAGTGTGCCAGCTTAGGGTTAATGCCTCCCAGATCTCCCCGCAAGCAAGCTTGAAACCACTCGAGCCCAGTGCCAGCTTTATAAAAGGTTGCTTGCAAAAAACAGTTCCTAAACATTAAGTCCGTTTAACACTTCATTTTATAAAATTCTAAGAGTCCAAACTAGGCAAAGGCAGGAAGACAATGGAGGGAGGCAATCCCCCAAAATTTAGAGCTGTTCAATCTTACTGCAGATGGGGTGTGCTCTGGAGCATACAAGGGAACCCCTTCTTTACAGGGGTCCTCACATTTGCAGTATTCTCTGAATCCTGTATCTGCCTTCTAGAAACAAAGAACAGGCTATGCACACCTACATCTTTATTTTTTTTTCGTGGTTTACACACTTAAAAATAAAACAGCAAAAGCTGCAGTGCTTGTTTTTTGAGCAAATGCAGTTACCACCAAATGCTCAAAATTAATGTCTCAGTCTCAAAAGATGTTATGATGGATCTGCTAGTTCGTCAGTTCTTTAAATTTGATGTACAGTCTGAAAGTCTCGGACCTTCTGTGACCTCTAACTCCTCCAACAGGGAAAGAAAGAGAATAAAAGCTCAATTCGTCCCAGAAAATCAGCACCAAGTACTTGGTAAGTAACCAAATCTCAAGCGTTCACAGGCTTACATCCCAGGAGGCTAAAGGAAGTCCCACCCACCCTACTGCAGCATTGCTGAAATGAGAAGCCGCTAAGTTCAAACTTAATCTTCCAGCAAGTTCTCTCCTCCTACAGAGCCCCGGCAGCTGAGCTGAATCATTTCCCGCCACCTTATGCACAGTGTTCAGCAATAGCTGTGGCGCTTGCAGGCGAGGGAAAAAAAAATTTTTTTTTCTAAGAAAAAGCGCGCATTTTGTATCTCCTCTGACTCGCAGAGCTCGTGGTGCTGCTCTCAGGTGGGCAGCGCGTAAAGGAACTTGCTGCGCGCCAAAACCTGAGCTCCGCTCAGCTTCCGCTGGAAGCAACAGCCGGGATGGTTAACAACCACTACAGGGCCAGGAAAAAACAGCCGGACCTCAAACCAGATCGAGCCTCTGTACTATGGCGCATTGATCCCCAGTGTCACTGTGAGATCCTAGAATGCCAAGAGCTGCCGGAACTTGCCTGTCCTGGGATCTCAGCAAGCCCTGGGAACAGCATGAGCTGGCGGACAGGGACGCCCCACGGGCCCCCAAACCATCTCATCTCGAGCCCCTGCTACTCCATGAGCCCGGTGGGGGTGGGGGGGGTCCCATGATCACTTCCTGCAAAGCCACGAGGCCTAGCAGCACTACTAACTCCAGGATCACGTGAACACTTGGAATATCTTCAGCGCGGGGGTGGGGGTGGGGCATCACGCGCGCCACGATCGCCTCGAGCTCCTGGAACACCGTGGAGCGGCAGGGGACACCACAAGCCCTTCGAATAACCTCGAACCCCTTCAACACCAGGAGCTGAAGCAGGGGAGGGGAAGCCATTAATCCCAGCTTCACCTCCAGTTCCTGGTACACCATGAAGTGGGGGGAGGTAGGCTACAAACCCCAGGATTATCTTGAGCCTCTGGAATGCCGCGAGCCCTCAGATCACCTCAAGCCCCTGGATACCATGTGCCTGGGGCATGCCACTAACTCCAGGGTAACCTCCACCATGACACTTGGGGGGCTCCACAAGCCCCAGGTTCGCCTCAAGCCCTTGGACAGCATGAACGTGGTGGGGGTGGGGGGCCACCAACTCCAGGATCAGCTCAAGGACACGAGCCTCTGGCGTGGGGGACGCCACTAATCCCACAGTCTCCACAGCCCTAGAATACCATGAGCCCCTGGTGGCGCCACGAGCCCAACGATCACCTCAAGCTTCTGGAACGCCATGAGCCCCAGAGACGCTAGGAGTTTCATATCACCTTGAGCCCCTAGGACACAACAAACCCCAGGACTCCAGGAGTCCCCGACTCGCCTCAAGCCCTAGGTCACCATGAACGCTGGGACCACAGGGAGCCACATGATTATCTCAAGACTCTGCGACGCCATGAGCCCTTCAGACCCCACGAACCGACGACTCCACAGTCCCATCTTCTCAAGTCCTGGGACAACATGAACCCCAGGGACACCATAAGCTCCGTGATTACTTCAAGCCCTTAAAACACCACAAATCCGGGAACCCCCGGAGTCCCCAAATCACCTCAAACCCTGCCACATGAAACCCGAAAACACCAAAAAGCTCCGCCATCACCTCAAATACTAGGACACCATGAACCCTAGAGACAGCACGCATCTCTGGAACTGCCTCATAGAACTTCAGGTGCCATGAACCCAGGACGCTGCAAGTCCCACAGTCACCTCAAGCCTCTGGGATAAAATGGACCCCCGCGGATGGTTTAAGCCTCAAAGATGCCCAGGCCCTGGGCCAGACCCAGCGCTTGATACCCATGCCCGCTGACCCATCGTGGACAGTGACCAATGCCCGGGGCCACCACCCCACCCACCCTGGCTGACCACCAGCCAATCCCCACCATCTTCCCCCTCAACACCTTAAGTGGGCTGTGTGCGAATCCTGTCAAGAATCTTGCTTTGGAGTGGGGAAGGGGTAGAAAAGAAGCAAAAGTAGTGGGGGCGGCTGCAAGAAGGGCGCCTTACCCTGTTCCTCAGACATGGTGAGGCTAGGAGTTCCGCTCAGAGTTCAGCTCCAAGCGCCTCAGGCTCGGCGTCTGCTATGCGGCGCTGCGATCGCAGCTGCGCACACGAAGCGCCTGCACAGAGGCGCCAAACGGAAAGCTGAAACTCACTGCTGGGGGTGGTTTCTGCGGCTGCGCACTAGTGCCCGGCGTGCGCACCCACTGGCTGGGCGACGCAGACTTCATGCATGTATAAAGTGCGCCTTAAAAATTACATGAGCGCAAACATATAATTTTAAGTGCACTTTGAAAACAATGCAAAAATAGCCACCAGTGTAATTCTGCTCTTGACACCTATTATAAGGATATAAGCATACTGGCGTATATCATAATAATGTGTAATGTAAGAAATTTGAGTTCAAACTTTATAAAGTTTTTCTGGGTTGTGTTCTCATGTCCACTATAGGCTATGGGGGGAAATTTGAAAATAACACAAAAATTTAAAGTGTGCCCCTAACAATACCCCCTAAATCCCTCCATGCCACCCTGCCCTTCCCTTTGTTGTTTTCTAAACAGCCATGGGCTTCATTCCTCCATAAAATAATAAATACAATTGACCAATATACTAGTGCTCATCACAGGCCAACCATTTAAAATGGGGGTCTTTATCTGGGTCTCACCATAGTAAGTAACTGGTATTATTCTCCTACTTCAAGCTTAATTAACTCGGGCAACGCTACAAAGCTAGTGCCAGAGTTATGATCTAAATACGGGGGTCACTTCTGCATAGTGCATGCTCCTAATTATTTTGCCTCTGGTTCAATTGCTTCTAGAAATTTTTCACATCTTTCAAAGCTTGTTCCAGTAACATATCTGTTCTAATACCTGCATCAAAACACTTGCCTAAAACACCCTGATAAAACTGAGTCACTCCTCTAGTAGTTCACAGTAGGTCACTTTCACCTCCTTTCAGCACTTAAATCATTTCCCCTGATATTAGAAATATTTGTCAATATGCTTCTTTCCTTCTAAGCTCCTGAGGATCAACATCAAGTTTTGTTTATATTTAAATAGCACTACCTGCATAAAGTTATCAAAGTTAAAGATTATTCACTGGTGAATTCTACCAAACATGAAAAGAAGAACTAATACCAATTCTTCTCAAACTCTTCCATATATATGGAAAGAAAGCATACTTTTAAACACATTTTACAAAGCCAACATTATCCTGATACCAAAACCATACAGACAGACCAGATCAGAAATTTACAGGCCAATATTCCTGATGAACATTAAGTGTAAAAAACGAAATTCAACACCACATTAAAAGGAAAATGCACCATGAATAGTAAATGGAAAGTAAATGCATGCAATTTACTCCAGATATGAAAGCATAGTTCAACATTTCCAAAACAAATTACATGATACACAACAAAATGAAGGATAAAATCATATATGATCACCTGAATAGATGTGGAGAAAGTTAGCAAAGTTCAATATCCATTTATGATTTAAAAAAAGCTCTCAACAACAGAGGTATAGAGAAAATATATTTCAACATTATAAAGACCATAAATGACAAATTTAGAACAAACATCATAATCAATGGTGAAAAACTTTACTTCTATGATCAGGAACAAGACAAAATACCCATTCTTGCTGTTTTTATTCAGTATAGTAATGGAAATCCTTGCCGTGGCAAATAAGCAAAGAAAAGAAATAAAAGTCACCAAAATTGGAAATGAAGTAAATCCATCACTATTTACAGATGGCATACTATATAGAAAACCTTAAAGACTCAAAACCCCTGTTAGAACTTATCAATGATTTCAGTTAAGTTGCAGGATATAAAATGAATATACAAAAATCTGTTGCATTTCTATACATTAATAAGAAAAGATTAGAAAAAAATTAAGAAAACGACACTGCTTACAATTCCATCAAAAAGAATAAAGCATCTATGAATAAATTTACCATGGGAGTGAAAGATACATATAAATTCTATTAAAAATTTGATGAAAAATAATCAAAGAATACAGAGAAATATTCTGTGCTCATGGGTTAAAGAATGAACATTACTAAAATGTTCACACTACCGAAAACAGGCTATAGATTTACTATAACCCTATGAAAATTCTTTTTTTTTTAAGATGTATTTATTTATGCACACAGAACTGGGGTACAGGCCAGAGGTACAGGGGCGGTGTAAGGACTCAGAGACAAAGTGGGGAACAGAACAGGTAGATTGACAAAGTACACTGCTGAGGGGAGCAGCAGAGTAGACAGGAGAGGTCTGCTGCAGCATGTGGGTCATCTCCCTGGCCAGTGATTGAACTGTTGCTGAAGTTTGTAGTGCTGTGCTTTAACCCATTGTACCACCAGGGAGGGCAGGGAGGGCCCCCTACTAAAATTCTAATGGCATTCTTTACAGAAATAAAATAAGCCATCCTAAAACTTGTATGACACCAAGAAAAAAAAAAACAAAACCTTAAATAGCTAAAGCAATCTTAACGGGAAAAAAAGCCATAATTATCACACTCTGATTTCAAACTACAGAATTATTATAATAATAATAATAGCATAGAATTGGCATAAATAAAGCCATAAAACAAGGGAGCAGAATATCAATCTCAGAAACCCACACATGCATGGTCAATTAATTTATGACAAAAGAGCCAAAAATATACAATGGGGAATGGACAGTTTCTGCAATAAATGTTGTTGGGAAAATGGAGAGTCGTATCAAAAATAAACTAGATCACTATCTTACACCATACATAAAAATTATAACAAAATGAAGAAAAGACTTGTATGTAAGACCTGAAACCTTAAAATTCCTAAAAGGAAACATAACTGAGAAGCACCTTGACAAGGGGGCAGGGAGGTGGGCAAATGTAAAAAGGATGTAAAAAGGCACAAATTTTCAATTACAACCTAAGTCATGAGGATGTAATATATAGCAGTTAATAACGCTGAATAGTGAAATGCATATTTAAAAGTTGCTAAGAGAGTAGATCTTAAAAGTCTACATGACAAGAAAAAAATGTACTTTTATATGGTGTTGGATGTTATCTAGATTTTTGTGATCACTTCATAATATATACAAATATTGTACATAAACTCTAAGTGATAAACAGCCATATGTCTTAGACTTCAACAAAAAAATAAAGGGAGAGAAAGAAATCAAACATAATTTCCAAGAGAGGCAGAGAGAGCATTTGTGGGAAAAAGAAGTGATAGAGAATGAACAAACAGTTAACAACATGGATGGAAGCTTGGCCTCTGTTACCCTGTAAGTTAGCACTAGTGGCATTAGCAAACAAAAATTCTGTCCTGTAATGATCACAATATTTGCATGGAATTTCCAGCAGGGAGGATTATAGCAGGGCATGGTGATAAAACATCTAGGAAGCAAAAATGAAAACTTAGGAGGGGGGTGCTATCTGCTGCACCCTTCACCCCACAAAATATCAGGTTGGTCATTTAGCTATTGACCTTGGTCCTCTGCAGGAAGCTAGTCTGTGAGCATCTTAGGACAGCCCTGGAAAGGAGCCAGACAGAAAATCTCCAGGGCCTTCTCCCCCTGGGTAAAGGAAAACTGTGCTGGGAGAGAGACTGACTCTGCCCGGCCTTGCCAGCCCCCTTCACAGGCCAAGGGGAGGGGCAGCGGCTGCAAAGTGTGGGGGCTGAATGCAGAGGCTCAGGGGTTGAGCCCACAGCAAAACCCAGCAGGGAAGGGGGGCACTGGAATGCCTGGGAGAGGACAGAAAGCCACTCCACTGGCCCCCTGGGGGGGGGGAGGGGCTGGAGCAGGGGGTGGGCTGAGGGCCTCCGCCAGACTCCAGCCCAGACTCCGGACACCGCCCTGCCTGGGGGCTCACCCGTGTCTTCACTGGCCTGGCT